CTCCTAAATCACTCGTACGCACAACTTAAGAACAAATCTGTGCGTACGAACGGTTCTTGCATGAGGCCCATTGAGCTCCAACTATAGGAGTATTTAATCACTTGTTGAAATAACTTTTGAAGTGATTTGCTGCACATTCTGATGTCTAAAAAATAATGACAACATGCTAAAACTTGGAAATTCAAAAAATTTGCCAGAAATCTGAATTAATCTATTCTTTTATCCTCTGTATTATTATATTATATGACATGATACTGCTCCACTTGGGTGTGGATGGGTTAAATGCAGAGCACAAATTTCGTCATTGTGTGGAAACATACACTGATGACAAATAAAGCACCTTTACTTTACTTATTAATTCAATTCAATTCTTTATTCATTTCATTAAAACAAAACAAATAATTTTATATACAATATACAATGAAAAGAAAAATATAAAAAGAAAAATGAGAGAAAATATATGTATATCAAAATCACAAATCACATTATCACATTTTATTTTAAAGTATCATGATAATTATGCTGATGCTTTTGGTAACCGCATTACCAGATTATCAACTTCATTCTAATCCTGTTAGCCGGTGCTACAGCTGGTTGCAGCTACTTGGGAAACATTTAACACGACTGTGAGCTAAGAATATTTTATTAATATTGTGCATTCAGCAGGAAATCTAAAAGAAATTACCTCTCATAAGCACTGGCTTTGTGTATTTGAAGATGTGTGTGTTGTGCCGATGCTTCAGAAGCTACCTGTTCTCCCAGAACAATTAAGTCAAGCCTCTTTACAGTATCTCCGCTCCAATTAATTTTAATATTTAAACAGCCATGCAGAGACTTCTGAACCAGCTAATGTGAGATTAGAGTAAACTCAATTAATTATTGATGGCCATAAATAAACATTCTAATTTGTCGAGCTGCCGTGGTGCGCCGTAAATCGAGAGGGGGGAAAAATAAAAATGTTTTCAGCTGAAATTCTGTGCTTATTAGCTGAGCAAATGTTGGATCAAAGAGGATCTGGAAATGAGGTGAGGAGAAGGACAAAAGAAGGATGCAACAAATGGACAACAAACAGAAAACAGAACATTATTTTTAAATAAAGTTTTGAATTAGATTTTTTTAATGTAAAATTGAGACTTTTCTAATTTAATCACTCTGGATTTACAATGAAAGTATGTTTAGGTGTGTGAGAGTGATAGAAATGAGTCATTTTGATGCTTCTGTGTGTTTTTATAATGTCTGACACTAAAGCCAAATTAACATTTAGAGAATTATTACTTCGATTCAGGATATAAAGAAGACTTTTTGGAAGAACGCACTTAATGAAGAAATGTCTAAAACTGAAGTTTATAATTTACCCAAATAGTTTTTGTTTTACCTCAGCACCGTTCACATTTTTACTTCATATAGTCAAAAAATGACACGTAAAACATATATTTGATCCCACAGGTGTAGTAAAAAGATAAGTAAAAAGACAATGCACTAACAGGAGGTCAGTATGAAGACAGTGTATGTGTTGATGAGTCAGAGGTCAGAGATTCTTACAGTGGAAAGAAAGTAAAGGCTGATTTATACTACCATTCTCACATCTTACAGTCTTGTAAAGTGCCCCCTGTCAGAAGTCTGTCTTACAAACCGGTTCTGTTTGTGCTTTCTGATTGGTCAGAACTCTGTGTACATGTTTGTTTCTGCGGAGCAGCGCGTCCTGCATTTCATTTTGCTCCCAGAAGCCAGAAGTTGTTAAATTGCCAAGACGGAATGTGCAACCGATGTTCACGTCTTCTTTCCATCTCTTTGGTTAACAAGAAAAAAAAAAACACTCTTCTGTTGTTTCAATGATTAGCTATAAGCTACATACACTGGGAGTTCTGTGGGAGGGATTATGATGATTTATTCCCCACATCTTCTACATTAGTACAAARGGTAAAAAAAGACATCTAAAGTTATGCAATCAATGTTTTATGTCTTGTGTAAGTATACTTATTCACTCTTTCAAAGACAAAGGGTAGTAAATGACATTAACATCTGTGTTTTRGTTCATTAATTAGCTTTATACATTAAAATGATGCATATTTTGTGATCCTTGTATTAATTTGGCACGATTGCTCAATGGTTAGCACTGACGCCTCGCAGCAAGAAGGTCCTGGGTTCGATCTCCGGTTCGGACCTGGGGTCTTTCTGTGCAGGGTTTGCATGTTGTCCTTGTGCTTGCGTGGGTTTTCTCRGGGTACTCCGGTTTCCCACACCCTCCTAWAAGAAACATGTACAATAGTTTGCCTTCAGGCCAAGGCCTCCCGTGAAAAAGAGATCTGAGATCTCATCAGTACTTGTCTGGTTAAATAACAGTAAATAAATAAAATAAAGTATTCGTTCCTGTGTGTTCTTCTGTGTCATTAGTCCAATTCCTGTTCACTGTCCTGCCCCACCCACTCACTCACCTGCTCCCAGTCTAAGGTCATATATACAGTTTATATATGTATATATTTATAACTTTGTCTTCAGTCTCTAAACTGGCTGCCTCAAAGGTTTTATTATTTTGCAATTTTTGCTTCCTTTGTGCTTAAGAATATTTGTCAATGATATGCTAAATCTAAAAAGGACAATTTATTATCTGTATGTCTGTTGTTTTACAGCCAGCTTCTTTTAGATTGTAAGGAATTTAGCACTGGCCTCCTGGCTAAGCTTCACTGACCAGAGGAGCGCCTCTGCAGTGGCCYTTTTTGTGACATCATAAATTCTTCAAGTCATTATCATTTTGTTTCATTTTCAAAGGCTGWGATGGAGGTTTCAGAGGTCGTAACAGAACTGGCAGACAGAAAGCTTGTCCTTGAGAGGCTGTCTTCGCTCTGACTGATGGTGAATCATTCATGGAGTGCAGAAAACATGAGAGCTTGATTAAGGAAGAGGAGAAATCTGCTGCAAACTTAAATCAGTCCAGACTGAAGACTGATTAGAGCAGAATTTTACATAAAAAAAAAAACCCTGGAAGGAGCAGATCGGTGCATATGATGCTTCAAACACCTAAAAATGAGTTTTCAATAAACCATCTTTATTGCATTGGGACGTACATTCATAAAGTAAAAATCAATACAAARATGCACAATTCTTCCACACTATTATGGATTATTTATTGTGGTTATAGTTGTGCAGATTGTCATCAGAGCTGTTCCACCTACATGCAAACGCCATCAAAACCAAACATGTGCACACAGACAGCWACACACCACGTTTACAGAGGTTTTCCTTCTTCAGGCTCATGAATATATAAGAGCGTGTGTATGGCAGACAGAGCAGACTAACATGACAGCCTCCTGACAGCTCCTGTACACAAGCAGCCTGCTCTCTGCTTCAGATATACAGTATATTTTGAAAGGTATTCAAGAGCCAAACGTGTGTGTGTGTGTGTGGGGGTGTGTGTGTGTGTGTGTGTGTGTGTGTGTGTGTGTGTGTGTGTGTGTGTGTGTGTGTGGGGGGGGGGCAGAGGACAAACTAGGTGTGCCTCTTTTCAGTCAGCTGGGCTGTGACTCGGCTGAGGAGGGAGGAGATTATTTTCCAGTGAATCTGGGGATTTTCTTCTTGAAACAATACTTTTGGTGAATTTAATGTGACAAAAAACACAATCTAAAATACACGATTATTGTTAGAATCCATTACTCACATCATGCTGTGTTCACACACTGAACATTTTCACCTTTTGTTCTCATCCTCTGCGTTTCATTCTGAGTTCAAGCAGGTCGTTAGAGTGATTACAGTGGGAGAGGGCTTCCATTAAGAAAGTGTGTGTGTGTGTGTGTGTGTGTGTGTGTGTGTGTGTGTGTG